CCATTATAAGAATCAGGATGAAGACCTGACTGAGTTAGCAGAGAAGTATCACGATATGGGACCTAATGTAGAGCATAACACCTATAGTTAACTAGAGGCCTGGTGCATGAATTTGTGCACGGTTAGGGTCCTTCAGGGTGGCCTGTGGGCCCTGCGTCTGGCACCCGTCCTGGGGGGGGGGCGGGACACGATTGGCCCTCCAGGCAGGCAGTGGGATGCCCTTGCCAGCCTGGGATCTGGATCCATCCCACTGACATTCGCACCGGTTGTCGGGAACCACCTAGCAGCTGCTTTTATATCGTTTCTTCCTTGAGGAGCATCTAGGGAGGGGAAGCAGTCATGGTGCCTGAGGCTGACTTCCAGGAGGCCGGCGGTGCTGTCGGGATCATGCCGGTGGCGCCGGTTCATCGGTGACTGGCCCATTCTCTGGAGATTGGACCTGCAGGACTACTGAAGGAGTGAGTGGCTGCCACTGGGCTGGTGGGCCTCCGGAACAGGTTGGTCAGCTAAGCGGCACTCCCGCTATGGGAGCACACTGACCACCAGGGGGCAGCTCATGCATTGAGTGTCTGTCCCCTGGTGGTCAGTGCACGTCATGGCGACTGGTCAACTGGTCAACCAGTCGTTCAGTCATTCAGTTGCTTAGGCTTTTATATATAGATAATATTGTACAATATACTGTAACTGAGACCCAGGTTCAGCTACCTGCCAAAACAAAAGCCAAACTTTGGAAGGAAAGTGGTTTATTCAAGTGCAGGCAACTTGAGAAGATAGGGGACTCTTGTCCTAAAGCCCATCTCAACATCTCAGTACAAGCAGAGGTTTTTATTATAAGGAGGGAGAGGGAAAGCAGAACAAAGAGATCAAGGGGAGGAGGTTGAAAAGTTCTCTACATGCAGACCAACACAGTCCATTCTTATAAGGATCTCGAAACCAGTCAAGCAATGGTCTGGTGTGTGTCATCCTGGTTTTTGTCACCTGGTTTTACAGTTGAAGGTCAGCAAATTTCCCAGAACTGGGATGACTGAAGGCCAGAGTCTGTATCTTTTAAAGTTAGTTCCTAGAATTCCTATACAAACATGTTGTTTATCTATAAGCTACATATTAATCAGTCAACACTTACAAAAACAATGTCAAAAGAATGGTGGGATGGGTTACAATTCCCCACTGTTACAATACTTGAAAGTTGCTATGAGAGTCAATGTTAAATGTTCTAACAACAACAATAACAACAAAACGGTAACTATGTGAGGTGAAGGATGTGTTAACTAACCTTATTGTGGCCAACATTTCAAAATATATACTACTAATTTCTGAAGAATTTAGTATAAACCATCTATAAAATGCCAGCTGTGTGTAAGATGCTGTTTGTAATAGACAGAAGTAAGGTAAAAATGTGAAATTGGTTAGTATAGTCATATGCATTTTAGTGCCTTTGGGAAAAGATTTTAGTAAGAAGAGAAGTTTAAGTTATAAGCTATTATCTAAATTAAAGGTTTCTGTGAACAGATGAGTGAGTACATCAAGAGTGGTCAAAAGGAGCCTGGCTGGCGTGGCTTGGTAGATGAGCATCAACCCACGAACCAGAAGGTCACGGTTTGATTCTTGATCAAGGCACATGCCTGGGTTGCAGGCTAGATCCCTAGTGTGGGTGGTGCAGGAGGCAGCCAATCAGTGATTCTCTCTCATCATTGATGATGTTTCTCCCTCTGTCCCTCTCTCCCTCCCGCCCTCCCACGCTCTCTCTCTGAAATCAATAAAAATATATTTAAAAAAAAAAGAACTAGAAAATGTGCTTTTAAAAAAATCAGGAATAGGATTAGGCCCTGGCTGGAGTGGCTCAGATGGCTGGAGCATTGTCTCATGCACCCAAGGGTCTCGGGTTCATTTCCCAGTCAGGGCACATACCCAGGTTGTGGGCTCAATCCCCAGTCCAGGTGCATACAGGAGGCAACTGATCCATGTTTTTCTCTCACATTAATGTTTCTCTCTCTTTCTCCCTCTCCCTTCTTCTCTAAAATAAATAAAACGTGTCTTGGCATGAGGATTTTTTTAAAAAAAGAATAATCCCTGCCTGAGTAGCTCAATTGGTTAGATCATCATCCCCAGTACCCAAGGTTGTGGGTTTGATCCTCAGTCAAGGCACATACAAGGAACAACCAATGAATGCAAAAATAAGTGGAACAACAAATCGGTGTTCCTCTCTCTCTAAAAATTAATAAATTAAAAATAATTTTTTTAAAAAAAGAATAGCATTAGGAGAGAAAGACGTAGTTAGGAAAGGAATATAAATATGTAACAAGAAGATATTTTTGTTATTATTCTAAAGTTCTGAATAAAGCCAGACAAATATAAATAAAACCTGGCTTGAGCAGAAACAGGCCTGTAAATAAAATGTGTGCTTGCTAGTAATCAGTCTAAATGAGAAAGCACTTTTCATTTTTTATTTCTCTATCTTATTTCCTTAGTTTCCTGGGTTTACACTCTTTTTAGCATCTCTGCTAAGGCAATTAAAAAGTTATGTGATTAACTATTTCTTTCACCAAATTTGACCATTTACTCCTGAAGGCAATTATTTTAATGGAGTCCACAAAGTACTATGCCAGCCAAAAATATATTTTGAAGAATAAAGTATTTTAAAAATTGGTATGATGACATTTCTTTCTTCTTCTTTACTCATTCATGGTGAGTATGAGTATCAAACTAAAAATTACTTTAAAAGATACTAGTTATATCTACAATAGTTCCTGACTACATATATCAAAATATATTTTCTCTAGTTATTTTTAGGTATTTGTTTAAAATCTTATAAAAGTTTATTAAAAATTCTCACAATACTTTTCACTTCCAATAACATGAAACCCATTATGAAAATATTCAAACCCTAAACGTTCATGTTTGTATTTATAAATGAGATTAATTTTTTCAAGAAGCTTTATACTTTTTCAAATGCAAGAACTCCAACATATACCAGAGCTTCGTTCTAAGTACAAGACTTTTGCCAAAAGCAAAAGTACGCAATACATTATTTTAATAATGAAAATCTCAACTATTAGAAACCAAACTCTGTGTGGAAAAAATAAATCATTTAGGTGAAAGGGTAACAAACATTCAATTCAAGGATAATGCAGCCCTGAGGGGAAATATGCATATGAATAAAGTTTATGAAATTGGTTCAATGCCTCTGCAAAGAAAACATAATTAGTTTATTTTAAAGCTGCCTATAAAATGTTTTCAATATTGCAATATGAATTATTTATAGAAAAATGCACGTCTATGAGGGAAGAAGAAAGGAGGAGGTGAAGAAAGATATGGGGGGATAAATGGTGATGGATGGAGACCTGACTTGAGTTGGAGAACTCACAATACAGTGTACCGATGATGTGTTGTAGAATTGTGCACCTTTATAATTTTGTTAATCAGTGTCACACCAATAAATTCAATTAAAAATAAAAATGTATAGCTAAACTTTAAAGCTATCATTTTATTGAAGATCTTGAATACAGTGAGAACAACTAGAAATAAGAATATATTGTTTTGTGTATGTAATAGTTGGAAGATTCCTTTTTATTTACATGCTTTTCAAAAAAGTTAAGATTTATTATCAATCTGAATCAGTAATATTTCATTCAACTTTTCCTTTTAAAATTTAAGAAATTAAATTGACAGTTAGATATCAATTTAATTTTCAAATTTTATATAGAATCCTCTTTAAAGTTGACAAATGTATTACTTTGAAATCATAACTGCTAATGAAAAGACTGAGTGAACATGTCTAAGCTTAAATAATTTTTTAAATATATTTTTAATGTGTTTAACGTTGGTGCAGGGTCTCATAAGGGAAAAGACTTGGATTCGGGGTGTTACTATAATGGTAAATACTAAAAAGCATTCAAATGGACTCACAAGCTGCCTGTGTTTAGAATAATCCTTTCAACCAGTTTTCTGATTAGTACTTAACGTAGCACAGATTCCACTGGGAGCCACATAGAGCTTAGATGCTGTAAGTAGGCCTGCAGTTTTATAAAATTTTCTTGAGAGAATTATAATAGAAATACCTGATCCCATTCTTCTAAAAAATTATGGAAAATGAATGTTATTTATCTCCAATTTCAAGCAATTAACTATAAAGAAAAATAAAGGAAAATCACTGTATTTTAAAAAGTCTCCTTTGAACACATCAAAATTTTAAAGCTAAAATAAGGCAGCCCCGCCCTGACTAGTTTGGCTTAGTGGATAGAGCGTTGGCCTGCAGACTGAAGGGTCCCAGGTTCGATTCCGGTCAAGGGCATGTACCTTGGTTGCAGGCTCATCCCCAGTGGGGGGTGTGCAGGAGGCAGCTGATCGATGTTTTTCTCTCATTGATGTTTCTAACTCTCTATCCCTCTCCCTTCCTCTCTGTGAAAAATCAATAAAATATATTTAAATTAAATAAATAAATAAATAAAACAAGGCAGCCCCAGGGAATGTGCACACTCCCTGGTCCTGGCTGAGCAGCAGAAGCACTGGGCACCATTAACTAAGGATTGACTTCTCTGCTTTCTCGTTCTCAGCCAATGGTAAGCCATATTCTGGTTGGCCTCTAGGTTAAAACTTGAGGTTTCCTAAAATAGTTTTATTTGGTTGTACAAGAAACATAAATGTAATGATGATAAATAACTTAAAAGAGTATTACCTAAATTTACCTCAAATTTCTGAAATTAATATTCACAATTATCAATTTATGAACACTAGAGGGCAGTAAAACACTAGAAGGTATATTTAAATTACATAACTAAAAGTGGCAAAGGCAAGCCAGTACTTTTATTTTTTAGTCAAAATCCTAACAATTTAATGAATTTATTCCTTTTTAGGTTGCTAAAGTACACAGTATTCTTTGGCGTGTCATTTTAGGTATAACTTACTTTGCAAAGTCCAAATAAGAAATGTGTCCATGATAAAACCCGGGTTTCATCTCTTTCCAGGAAGTGATGTTCTTCACAAAGCGTACCTAAACAGGAGGACACACTCATTACTTACGTGTAATTTAAAGAAAACGAAATTCAATGATAGTAAACTACTTCCTATGTAGGCATTTAAAACCAATCACAATTGTAGTTGGACAATTACAGAGCTTAAAACACAGCTTTCTAACTAAGAAAAGTATAGTGTGATCTGCAACTACTAATTCATCATCAACAGAGCTATCACCACAGTCAGAAAAGAGGGAAAGAAGACCCTAAAAATGCATCGCACAATGCAAACATTCACAATGCTGTACAGTGCAGACATTCACATGGGGTGAGGGAGGGTGGCACAAACACACACTGTGAGAATAAACAAGTCATCTTTTCTGTCAAAGAACAGTTTACACAGCCACCATTTTGGCTCATGTGACTTGGCAGCCACCATGTTGGCCGCATGACTTACAGCTCCCCTGGGGGCTGCCATCCTGAAACGGCAAAGGCCAACCCCTCCCTTTGAATTAGCCAATCATGAAAGACTGTGGGCCTGCGCTCCAATCAAGAGTGAGAGACAGGTCATGGGCGTCTGGATTAATAAGTGAGCAGACCACCTGCTCAGTGTGCGTGTGCTTCCAGACCATGTGCATGAGCACCCTCCTGCAGGAGTAAAGACATTTGTCTTGCTTCCTGGCTCCCGAGTATGTTTTGTATTCTACCAGGACCCCTGAATTTTGCCTTATTTCTTACAACATGATGAAGCAGGCAGCACTGTAGTATAGGAAGATTCTACGCAAATCTGTTTTCTTCTTAGAGACCTGTTATTCCTAAAAAATCATTTTTATTAACAACTCAAAAAATTAAAAAATTGCTAAATCAAAATGATTAAAGAAAACATGGTAATTATCAGAAGACTTTAAAGAGTTAAGAGCAGATATCATAAGTTTGTTGATAAAAAAAGATAAAATTAGAGATGTGATATAGGTAAAATTTTTAAAAAGCTAATTACTCCTTTAATTTAATAGAATTAAAAGTATATAAAAGATTAGTTAATATGAAAAAGTCTTTGCAAATATATTTTAAAAATTTGCCCAGCTGGTATGGGTCAGTGGATTGAGTGTTGTCCCATGCAGCAAGAGGTCACCAGTAACTCTACACTGCCAGCTAATTTCCTTAATTTAACTGTCCAATTTATATAAGGCATGAAAACAACAACAAAACAACCAGAAGGATTTGAAAGGAAAAGCGAGTAGTCATCCTTCATATCGTGATTCTGATTTAAAAACTTAGGCTGGAGAATGTCAGGTTTTATCTACTAAGAAAACCCCTCAAATCCAATCATTAAAACTTTGACCTCCAAAAACTCAAAGTTCTGTTGATCTCTCTCTCTCTCTCTCTCTCTCTCTCTCTCTCTCTCTCTCTCTCTCTCGCTTATTTTCCTCAGTACATTCACTACAATCTCAACTTCCAAACCACCCTGTTCACGACTCTCATACTGGACAACCATTTTTCATCAGTGACCACTGACTTATTCTTGCCCATTTTATTGTCTTGGGTAAACTCAGGGGTTGCTGAAGATTGCCAGTCAAAACTAAGAGGCATGGTTTAACTATCTATGTAGGACTTTGCGTTTTATTTCCCAACTTCATTCTGAGGTAAATTCAGGTGGGTTATTGTTGAGACTTTTAACAACACCCATTGCTAAAATCTCCAAAAGACTCAGACTCTTTCTTTAATCCCCAACTAATAGAATACTGAAGACTACACACTTGATGCATATGTATTTTTTTCCATCTCATCAACATTCAACTAAGGCAATATGTTAAAGTCTCATTAACAAAACTGTGGCTGACTTACAATTTGCAATAACTCAAAAGATGCTGAGCTGAGATTTACCTTCCCTCTATAGGAAAGAAAAAAGTGCTAAGCAAACAAATGATGTCAATAAGGTTAAAGCAGCTCTTCAGACTGATCTGGAGAATAGTTTGAGCATTTACATACTACTGCAAGTCTATACCATTCTAACCTCTTCTTCCAAAGTGACCTCCAAGGTCATAACCAACTAAATAACCCTCTTTGAAGAACAGTATGTTCAGTTTTTCTTTTCAAAGTATTTATTTAGCCACTTCTCCTTTTAGCCATCCTATATAATAAAAGCCTAATATGCTAAGTGTCTGGTCATCCAGTCGGGCATTCAACCAATCAAAGCGTAATATGCTAGCCCTAACTGGTTTGGCTCAGTGGATAGAGCATCAGCCTGCAGACTCAAGGGTCCCAGGTTTGCAGGCACATACCCAGTAGGGAGTGTGCAGGAGGCAGCTGATCGATGTTTCTCTCTCATCGATGTTTCTAACTCTCTATCCCTCTCCCTTCCTCTCTGTAAAAAATCAATAAAATATATATTTTTTTAAAAAGCGTAATATGCTAATGATATGCTAAGGCCACTCAACCGCTCGCTATGATGTGCACTGACCACCAGGGGGCAGATGCTTCAACTGGTAGGTTAGCTTGCTGCTGGGGTCTGTCCGATCGGGACTGAGCGAGACAGGCCGGACATATCCTGGAGCCCTCCCGCAGTCCCTCCCCAGCTGGCCAAACTCCCGCATTCCTCCCCAGCCACAATTGTGCACCGGTGGGGTCCCTCGGACTGGCCTGCGCCCTCTTGCAATCTGGGACCCCTTCAGAGATGTCGGAGAGCCAGTTTCGGCCTGATGGTGGAACGACCAGTTGCTATGATGTGCACTGACCACCAGGGGGCAGACACTCAACACAGGAGTTGCCCCCTGGTGGTCAGTGTGCTCCCACAGTTCAGACAGAAGCTGGTCTCACAGCTGGCGAGCGCAGCAGCAGTGGTGGGAGCCTCTCTCGTCTCCGTGGCAGCACTAGGATGTCCAACTACCATCAGCAGGTCATCCTCTGAGGGCTCCCGGACTGCGAGAGGGTGCAGGCTGGGCTGAGGGACCCCCACTTCCCCATGCAAGAAGTTTGTGCACCGGGCCTCTAGTGTTAAATATTTATCGTATTTCTCCTGAATTTTCCCTGTCTCTCCTCTCTTCACCTTAATCAGTCTAGTTTCAGTTCCTGCTCCATCACTTTTTGCCTCCTCACCTCTCCTATACCACTTACCTTGTCTTTCAGTATTTCTTCTGTTTTGTTTTTGTTTTTTTCTCTACAGTGCAGCATTCTGCCCAAGACCTTGAGATAAAGCTCTGGAGCACAGAGGAGTAAAGGGAAATGGAGAGTAGGTGAGCAAGCTTCTACTTGGTTTTTAATGGATTCTTATTGTGCTTGGCACTAATGAAGGTAAAGTGATAGACAAAAAGGAGCAAAACTAAAAGTATCAAATGAAGTTAAGGAGACTGAAGACACTAAACTGGCTTGGGGGAGGAAAACAGTCACCACAGTGACTTTATTCAAAGAATTTCCATACTCTGATTGAAATAGGTTATCAAGAAGGATGTTTCAGCAGTAGTAGTTAGATACAGTACATGAAAAGAGATGTTTTCATGCCTAGCCTGGAGCAGATCCTGAACTGTGATTTTTTTGTTTGTTTGTTTAAAGTATTACATATGTCTCCTTGTTTTCCAATTGACCCCCCACCCCGGCCACTCCCACCCTTAAAGGCAAGCCCCCACCCTGCCAGTGTCTATGTCCATTGGTTATGCTAATATGCATGCATACAAGTCCTTTGGTTGATCTCTAACACCCCCTCTCCCCTGCCATTTGTCTCTGGATCTATTTTTGTTCATCAGTTTATGTTGATCATTATATCCACATATGAGTGAGATCATGTGGTATTTATCTTTCTCCAACTGGCTTATTTCGCTTAGCATAATGCTCTCCAGTTCCATCCCTGCTGTTGCAAATGGTAAAAGTTCCTTTATAGCGGCGTAGTATTCCACTGTGTAGATGTACCACAGCTTTTTAATCCACTCATCTGTTAATGGTCACTTAGGCTGTTTCCAAATCTTAGCTATGGTGAATTGTGTTGCTATGAACATAGGGGTGCATATATCCTTTCTGATTGGTGTTCCTGGTTTCTTGGGATATAGTCCTAGGAGTAGGATTACTGAGTCAAATGGGAGTTCCATTTTTAATTTTTTGAGGAAACTCCATACTGTTCTCCACAGTGGCTGCACCAGTCTGCATTCCCACCAGCAGTGCACGAGGGTTCCTTTTTCTCCACATCCCCGCCAGCACTTGTCATTTGTTGATTTGTTGATGATAGCCACCAAACTGTGATTTTTGTCAGATTTTATAACTGAAGCAGAGTCAGGCTAGCAAGTAATCAGAGAAGACCTTCAGGGAAAACACAAGCAACGTGGGCAGCAGTGCTGTGATTTATTTGCTAGTTGAATCAGACCTGAACCAGTGCTGCAGGAAAAAGCTGAGAAAGCACCATCTTGCTAACAGTGTATCTAGACCTATTCTTAATAAGATTAATCTCAACATTATGATTATCTGTGATCACAAAAGAACTTGTTTTCACTATCTAAAAGTAAAAATGCCATTCTGAACATCCTGGCCACATTTCAACTTTTTAATAACTACCTATTTAATGAATACTATTAACTTGGGTGATTACTATATACTGAAGTCCTACTCATTTATATACTTAAAATAAAGATTCATTGTACAGCGTGGGTAGTTTTATGAGACTAAACTAGAGAAGTTTTATATACAAAGAGAAAAACAGTAATTGTTAGATAAAAATATAAGAAAGGTCAGCAACAACTGCATACAGTATCTTCACTATAGTTCAAAACTGTTATTGAACCCTTTTTTTTGTGGGAAGGTGGGCCGGGATGTTCTCAATCACCTGAATTAAGGTTAAATTATATTATTACCCTCAATCAAAGGGGCTCGCTCTGCAGTAATTATCATCATGGTATCATGCTAAGCTAAGAATGACTTTCAGAATCATAGCTGGTTCATTCATTTAACAAAAAAGTTATGCAATGTCTACTATGCCTCAGGCACTGTTCTTAAGCATGGAGATATAGTGCTGAACAAGACAGACAAGTTCCTTATATTATAACAGAGGAAAAGA